CTGAGCACAAGACTTCCTGCAAATGACTCCTCAGGTTTTCTTGCTTTTACTTTTAAGAAACCAAACCCCAAACCCACTGAGACTGTCCCCAGTCTGAACTAAAAACATCTAGGAAACCCAGCTTGCCCTTCATGCTGTTTCTGTTGCTGGTGAAGGGCCCCACAGGAACCCTCCCCTTGGGTGTCTCTTACCTCCCTCTGGCAGCCTCCCATTTAACCAGTGGGTCACTTGTCTCTTCTGTCCTTGTTTCCCTCAGATCATGGAGATGGCAGCTAAAGGGATCAAACCAGTCACCCTGGAGCTGGGGGGCAAATCCCCCCTTATCATCTTTTCAGACTGTGCCTTGGAGAATGCTGTGAACGGAGCCCTCATGGCCAACTTCCTCACACAGGGCGAGGTTTGTGTCCGTGGGGCAGGAGCGGTCCTCCCCAATGTGGCGGGGTGGTTTGAGAATTGGGCAGCAGAGCCAGCTTGTGACTTTGCATAGTAAGGGATGTCCTGATGCCCTGTCCTTCCCAGAAGTGGAGCCTCTGTAGCACCTGGTACCCAGCTCAGGAGCTGCTCCTGTGCCCTGGTCTCCAGTCTGGTGCACAGAGGTCAGAAGAGGCTGTGCTGGTGTCCTCTGTAGGGGCAGCAGCTTACAGTCCAGTGCGCTGAGCCATAGCCCTATGGGGCTCTGTCTGCCCCAAATTTGGGATCTCCACACATGCTGCAGGTTTTGTGTAATGCTGCTGACAAAATGGCTCACCGGGGTCATCTCTGGGAACTAAAAAGGCTGCTGAAGTTCTCTCCTGCTGGTGACTTGATGCATTTTTGCCACCTGGTGGCAACAGTACCACCATGGTCCAGCATGGACTGTTCAGTGCAGTCATGAGCAGCAGGATAATCTAGTCGTCTTTGTCCCCAGGGACAAGATAGCTGTTTTAGCAGCTGTGGAGGGGCTTTTCTGGGAGCCTCTATAGCAGGACCCAAGCAGGGAAAGACTGTGGAGTGCTGTGTCTCTTATTCTGAGCACCCTGTCCTGTATCCCAGGTATGCTGTAACGGCACACGGGTGTTTGTGGAGAGGAAGATACTGGATGCCTTCACAAAGGAGGTGGTGAAACGCACCCAGAAAATCAAAATTGGAGACCCGCTTCTGGAAGACACACGGATGGGAGCCCTCATCAATCGGCCCCACCTGGATCGTGTCCAGGGCTTTATCAAGCAGGCAAAGGAGCAGGTGAGATTGTGATGCTGCCTTGTGACAGCCCTGAAATGTCTCTTCCTTGTTAGACAAACAGACCGGCGGCTGCTTTCCTGCTCCATGCCTTCCCAGTTAAGCTCGTTTTTTTGTTGTGGTTGAATTACTTGATAGGTGTCTTGGGTCACTAGATGAAGTGACCCAGTGCATGTCTCTGAATCAGCATTGAAGGTGACATAGCTTTTCATATCCTGATGTTGCCAAGTTTTAGAGGTTGTGAGATACCCAGCATGGCAATGTGTAAAATGGCATAATGCATAATGTTTGGGCTGGTTATAAGTTGTGGTGATACCTTGCATGCTTCGCTGTTACCTCATTTGGGTTCCAGTTTTGTTAGTTGCAGGCAGAGTTTACTAAGGATCAAAGGCCAAATTTTGATTTGGCCAGGCTGCTGGAAACAGTCTCTGTAAGAGCAATAAGATCTACCCAGGCTTTTTTAGGTTTTTTTCCTCCAGCTTTTATTGTAAAGTGTAAAGATGTTTTAAATGTCAGCGATAGGTATATGACTAGGTGTAGCCAACTTGGGGGTGGGCTGGAGAAGGGGAACTGTGAGTAAAAGCCAGGAGGGCTAGATGAGGATTTGGAAACAGGAAGATGGATGTGGAAGAGAGATATGGGGAAAGAGAGGACAAATCCCCATCTCTAAAGTGGGGCATTTGATGGAGGTAGGTGTTTCCTGCCGGGTGGTATGTGAAGGATTGATTGACTCACTAATGAGGGAATTCACACCATGTGAAGATGTGGAAGTTAATGTGATGCCAGCTGACAATCTGCTCCTAGTTGTAGTTGTTTCCCTCCAACCTACACCGGCTTCTGTGGCACTTGCACCCCAAACCAGCATTGTTTGGACTTTTAGGATAGGTCTCAGCCCCTGACCTTGATCTATCAGTGATGCTCTGTCAGCAGTCCTGACCTGGAGAGGCACCAGGGAGGGCACAGGCATGGTTTGTCTGATAGAACTATAAACCCAGCAGGGAGTATTGGCCAGTCAGAGCTGTTGCAGCTGGGCAGGATGCTCCTGGATGTTCCTGCCTACTTTCTGCTTGGCTCTTTCAGGGGGCAGAGGTGTTGTGTGGTGGAGACCTGTATGTGCCAGATGACCCAAAGCTGAAGAATGGCTACTACATGCGACCCTGTGTGTTAGGTATGATCCTTCCTATTCATGGTACTGTGGCCTTCTACGTGGATGTTGCTGAGTTTCTTCTAGCGAAGCTGTGTTCAGCGTAATCTGTCTCTGTGTATGTCCGCAGTGTGGACAGGCACTCATATGGGTGAACTAGAGAGAGCTGAAGCACCCAAGAACTGCGTCCAGAGAAAACTCTGCTGTTGCAGGGTCTGACAGGACACGTGCAGTTAGTGTGTTTGCTGCCTTGAGATGCAGGATAGGACTTGCTCCTCAGCTAGCCAAGCCGGGGGGGGGGGGGCTGTGCAGTGCTGAGTGCTGTCTTGAAGGCTGTGTGGGTTCCTGAATGCACAGGCTAACTCTTCCTTCTGAGGCACATGTGCTCTGCCATGCTTCCAGGGAACTGCATGGATGACATGACATGTGTGAAGGAAGAGATCTTCGGGCCTGTCATGTCCATTCTGCCATTTGACACAGAGGAGGAGGTTGTGGAGAGAGCCAACAACACCAAATTTGGCCTGGCAGGTGGTGTCTTCACCAGGTATGACTGGGTAGTGTGGTTGGTGTGGAAGCGGTCTAGGGAGGGGAGGAAAAGGGAAATACTGCAGCAACTTGATGCTCCTCTTGCGGTGCCTGGCATATGGGTACAGATATCCTCTTCCAGAAGAGCTGGAGCGAGGGATTGCCAAAAGGGAACTTTGTACGTGACTGCACATCTCCTAGTTTTTCCTGAGGAGTTAGGTGGGCCCAGTTGTACTTCAGACTCCTTCCAGGCTGCGCTTGGCCTGCTGCCTGCCTTCCTGCATCTCCAGGAGACATGCACTGGGAGCCTGCCACACTGCTGAAAGTGTGCGAAGATGGCTGTTGGCTGCTTGCCGTAGTCTGCTTTGCTGGTGTCCTTGTCCTGCCCTCTCAAATCAAATGCAGCTTTTGAGTGTCCTTGGGAATAGGTGCTACAGCCTTTGAGCAGGCAGAGTAGGGCAGGTTGGGCTCCAAAAACCACTGCAACCTGCAGGCCTTTCTCTAGCGGGATGTTAGCTGGCAGGGGAGGAGGGGATGAATGGGAAGGGATCCAGCTGAATTGCCCTTTTCCTGCAGGGATATCCAGAAGGCTCACAGGGTAGTGGCTGCTCTCAAGGCTGGGATGTGCTTCATTAACAACTACAACATCAGCCCTGTGGAGCTGCCTTTCGGAGGATACAAGGCATCAGGTGAGCTCTGTTTGACCTTCCCTGGTATGACTATGTGCCAGTTACAGGGGGTATGAGTGGTACCTGGCACTGCCTGGAGCTGTGTTCTCACTTCTGGCTTGTCTCTGCAGGATTTGGCAGAGAGAATGGGCGGGCAGCCATGGAGTACTACTCACAGCTGAAGACTGTCTGCGTGGAGATGGGTGATGTGGAATCTGTGTTTTAGTGGCTCTGGGGTCTGCTCAAGGGAGCATCACCCAGTTCTTGCCTGTCAGCCAGAGATGTGGGTCATTTACACAGCAATAAAGTGCTCTAAAATTGTAAGTGCCTGAGGGGGAGCGTAGCTGGAGCAGCATTTAGCCACCTGCTCCTGCAAGGGGAAATGCACACACAGGGCTCAGCCTGTGGGGCTGCTCTCCTATCTGGTGGAAAATGGGAACCTCCAAGTAGGAGATAGCAATATGGCTTTCAGCAGCAGCACGTGCAGCTTTGTAGTTGTTATCAGAGGCTTGTCAGTGGCTGGAGGCCCGGCCCAGGCTGCTTCCCCCTGCTGCGTGCCTTGAACCCCATTACCTTCCACCCTCAGTCAACTTCAGTTTTGGCTTCTTAACAGGTATGACCCTACTCAGTGTGCAAATAAGCTCTTTGATATGTTGTTACCCTGTAGCTATAGGCTCTGTCTATTCTCTGACTACATAAAAGCTGTAAGGGCAGGATTGGTTTTTTCTCCTCTGGCCTTCTTTTAAACACAAGCTTTGTTTTTTTTTCTATCTGTACCTCACTTCCAAGGTGGGACAGAATATTGTGGGGATGGTGAGCTGATGCTGTCTGGGACAGGCACGGCCCTGAGAATCATCTCCACAGAGTATGGAACACAACTAGAGTGGTAGCAAGCTCCAGCATAGGATAGAGTGCTGCCTATCTTAAGCAAAACCTATCTGATTTCCTTCCTATAGGCCTACTCTTCTTTATAAAAATGATGAAGCAACAACTTTAAATGTCTGCTTAAATCTTTTTTTAGCAATCAAATAAACTCTAATTCTGTCTGGAACATCTTATTGGAGAGTGACATGCATTGAGGGGTGCAGAAATATAGTCTGACGGAGAGCAGGGCTCTTGCTGCATGGGTTAAACAAACAGATTGCAAGATTTTTGGCTTTTTGGTCACCAAAATCATAAAAGCTAAAACATGGCTGCCTGACAGGCAGATTTCTGTAGTTCTGCAAAACCAGAGTTGTTCTAGTGTTCTGCAAAGCTTCTTAAGAAAGCTCTCTATAATTTTAGAATGAAAATGCAGAATTGACAACTTTGTTTTATTAAAT